TAGTATTACCTGATGTAAACTATGGCAACAGTTTGGATGACAGTTACTGTATTGAAATGCAGAAGGCTGCACTTCTTATGTATGTCATATATCCATTTCAAAAGTACAAATTTACACATTACTGTACGTGGGATATTGATTGAAAGAGACTGGATAGGATTCACAGTTACACTTTACTAGTGGTCTGACAAAAAAAACAAAAAAACATTACAACATCATTGTGATATAGAGAAGAAATATGGGCACAAAGGCGAAAATACAAACTTAGAAAGGCAAACACAGGAAACACCAGAGCTTTGCTTTTGCATGCAGCACTGTATGAGGAATTGCAGTGGAGTCTGTCTACATCTCCTGACATGCCAGTCTGTCGGTCCACAGATTCTCATCTACATCACAACGAATATCTTCCCTTGCAATGCAACGTGGAATTGGAGTCAAGTGAACCATCTCACAACTTCATATATGTGGATGAGGCTGGCTTCAACCTGACCAAAAGCAGAATGCGTGGTTGAAATGTCATCGGCCAGAGAGCTACTGTTGATTTGCCAGGCCAACAGGGAGGAAATATCCATTGTCAGAATTTGTAACTCTTGTGTTGTTCTCTCTTTATGTATGCTTTCCAAGGAAAGATTCATGAGATGCACCTTTGAGCAATTTCAGAGAACTGCTTTATCATTAGCTGATCTACATTTTCTTCATTAGGGAAAGTCAAGATTCCCCTGCACAATTCATGGCAAATTTACACAAAGTCTAATAGAAATGTGTAGAAAATATGCTTGAAAGTTTATGACAACTAGATCAACCATTTTGCATTTAATGATTTATACGCTTTGGGGGTAGGACTGCAGAGAACTATATAGTACATTTTGAGCATCATGACATTAGCAACTGATAATGCAGGAAACCGCAGACAAATGTACATAATCAATTGCGTGAATATACCAAAGCAATCGCAACTTGTTCAAAAGAATGTGAAACTGCTTTTATGATGTGCACAATTGACTGATGTGGAGGTTGAATAAGTAGTTTTGAGAATTTCATTTCTGAGAAATGCACCAAAGCGACTGAGAAAAACTGCAATTTTGTATTTTCGCCTTTGTGCCTATATTTCTTTTCTATATTACAATGATGTTGTAATTTTTTTTGTCAGACCACTAGTAAAGTGTAACTGTGAATCCTATCCAGTCTCTTTCAATCAATATCCCACATACAGCAATGTGTAAATTTGTACTTTTGAAATGGATATATGGCATACATAAGAAGTGCAACCTTCTGCATTTCAATACAGTAACTGTCATCCAAACTGTTGCCATAGTTTACATAATGACAACATGACTAAGCATTTTAACTATCTTGTTTATATGAACAATGACACAAGGACTTTTCATTCTGATGGCACTGATATGTTCATTGACATAAATACTTACTTTTGAGAGATGAGCTAAAGATTTTGAATAAGTTACAGGCTTTTGCAGGTAGGCCTAATCCATTGTGTGGTGCTGTTTGTACGAATTGTTTTGAGAAATGCACATACTTCATTTCAAATACTAAGGATGATTCGAGAAATGCACCAAAGCGACTGAGAAAAACTGTAACAGCAATTATTATATGTTGCAATCAAAATTATAGCAAAATCCATTCATCCATCCATCTCTGTCTGTCAGGATTCAAATGGCTTCATGGGGAAAGTATTTAGATTGCCAAAGCATTGATTAAATTACAGACTTTCACATTTACATAGATTTACACAAAGCTAAAATATTAACAATGGTAAGGAAACGGCAACATTAGAGAGATCCGATTCCACATTTACACAGATTTACAAAAAATAAAAATAAGTTAAAATAATAAGAAGAAAACAGCAAATCTATCTACGCTCGCTGTGGCGCTCCGCGGCAGTAGGCGGCAGTGATGTGCAGTCAGGGCTCAGATTACTTCAGGACACTATTCGGACTGGATTCTTGTGTCAACATCTGTGTCTCCGCAGAGAGCGGGGCAGTATGGCGTTAACTGTGCTCAGAAATTGCTCAAAGGTTCTTAAAATAAACGTCCGGAAATTCACCGCTCCCCAGCACGTTTCTACGGGTAAGCTGAGCCCTTGCAAAACGTGATTATGCAAGAACTTCGATGTGTTGCGGCTGGGGGCGTTATAAATGTGGAGGTGTGGCCGGTGCGTCTAGTATATAGATCAACATAAGAAGGGATACGTGTTTTTGTAGTAGTTTCAGATTTCCCATTGCACTGTAAATGCTCAGATTATTACATTATGGTGTCTTGGTGTAACTCACCGTTTTCGATTTAGTGATTTATGTGTGGACTAAAGTGGAGCTAACAAGGCGGAAGATTGCAAACCTGCCCTGGACATGGCTGATACAACAGAGGAGAAATCGTTTATTTTTGATGTCCTCTCTAAGCGCCACCAACGACAATTATCAAGTTAAATCATTTTTTATAGTACTAGTGCTTTTAAGGAAGAAAAAGTATAGTGTACAAATTAATGCAAGAGAGCAGATCAATCATAGACATCTGTTTTGGCAAGCATTACAATATAGCATACTTTGTTTCAAATCCTTGTTAAAAATGCTTTTTCAGAAGATGTAGAATTCAGTAGAATGTAAAATATGAAATGTAAAAGAATATCACTCTCATATTGCCTCCTTGCATGTACTGTTAAAATGAGAACCACTGCATCTCATGAATATACACCATAAAAAGAGATCATGAAACCATGAATGTTTTTGCTGTGTTTTAGGTGTTCGACACAAGACCACGATTCAGTATGCTACACGGCCGGATTTACCAAAGCTGGCCTACAGGAAACTGAAAGGGAAGAGTCCTGGAGTGGTTTTCTTGCCTGGTTTTGCCTCTGTCATGGGTGGACAGAAAGCAGAAGCATTAGAAGAGTTCTGCAAGTCTTTAGGTCACTCATACCTCAGGTAATTGTCACTAGAGATAAACATACGTAATTTGTAATCAAGTACTTTTAAAAATAAAAAACAAGGTATTGAGTACTTACAAAATTAACCAGGGTGTGATAAGTTAAAAAACCAGAGAGGGAGGAAGGATTTTGTTATATTAAAATATTATTATATTTTATTATTTTTTTAAATTATGTTTTATTTTTATCTCACCTTGTATCAATGACGCCAGTAGCTAGTAAATCATTTCACTGGCCACATATAAATACAGTGCCGCCCACTAATATTGGCACCCTTGGTAAATAAATATAAGCAAAGGTGGCTGTGAAAATAAATCTGCATTGTTTATCCTTTTGATCTTTCATTCAAAAAAATTACAATAGTCTAACCTTTCATTGAAGTAAAACAATGGAAAGTGGGGGAAACTCACATTATGAAATAAATGTTTTCTCTAGTTCACGTTAGCCACAGTTATTGGCACCCAATTATTGCAACGTCCTTTTCCCAATATAACAGTTCTGAGTTTTCTCCTATAATGCATGATGAGATTGGAGAACACTGGACAAGAGATCAGAGACCTATCTTTCCAGATCCTTCAGATTCACAGCTCCATGTTGGTGCTTCTGTTCAGTTCACCTCACTCATTTTCTACAGGGTTCAGATCAGAGGACTGAGATGGCCGTGGCAGAAGCCTCATTTTGTGCTCAATGACCCATTTTTGTGTTGATTTTGATGTTTGTTTTGGATCATTGTCCTGATGGAAGATATAAACACGGTCCATTATAAGATGTCTAACAGAGGCTGTCAGGTTTAGATTTTTTATCTGTTGGTTTTTGATAGAATCCTTGATCTGAACAAGACGTCCAGGACCTCCGGCAGGAAAACAGACCCACAACATTGAAGATCTAGCGGTATATTTAACCGTGGACATGGGGTACTTTTTCCCTGTTTGTACTAAACCCATCTGGTGGGTTTGCTGCCAAAAAGCTCTTTTATGTTTCATCTGACCATAGAAGCCAGTGCCATTTGAAGTTCCAGTCGTGTCTGACAACTGAATATGCTGGCGTTTGTATTTGGATGAGCCAGGAGTTTTTTTTCTTGAAACCCATTTGAACAACATGTGGTGATGTAGGGGCTGTTTGATATATATTTGTTAGGCCTTCTGACCCCAAGATTCAACTACTCTCTGCAATTCTCCAGCTGTGATCCTTGAAGAGTCTTTGGTCACTCAAACTCTCCTTCTTACCATGCATTAGGACGATATAGACACACATCCTCTTTCAGGCAGATTTGTAACATCTTTAGGTGATCGGAACCTCTTAATTATTGCCCTGATGGTGGAAATTGGAATATTCAATGCTTTAGCTATTTTCTTACAGCTACTTTCTATTTTGTGAAGCTCAACAATCTTGTTCTGCACATCAGAGCTATATTCTTTGGTTTTACTCCTATTTGATTAAAGGGGTCCTATTATGCTCTTTTACGAAGTCTTGATTTTGTTTTGGGGGTGTACTAGAACATGCTCTCATGCTTGGTGGTTCGAAAAACGCACATAATTTACATTATTAAAATGCCATTCTCCCCAGCCTGGCACAAACGGCTCGATTAGTTCCGGCTTTGATGAAGGTCCGCCTTCCGAAAAACAAAATGTGTTGTGATTGGTTAGCTGTCCCAGTGCATTGTGATTGGCGAACAGCTTAGACGGTGTTTCAGTACTGCCACGCCCCTTGCTCCGTCTTTCAACAAAAGCTTTTGGCGAATCCGGCACTGTACTCCCTCATGTTGTGGAAGCTGTCCTCAGTAAAATGTCTTTAAAATTTATTTTCTATGAGTGTAGGCACACCGGCGGCGCCGTTCGGCGTCTGTCTGCGGCGCCCGCGGCGCCCAG